TCCTGGACACAAGCATACACAGGCTATAACAACGTCCGGCACTAGAACCGGGAAAACTGCACGTGAGACCTTCATCTTCATCATCTAAACGTCTAATTAAACGTCAACAATGCTGGGAACCTTGGGGGCATGCATCGGTCTCGAGTTTGAGTGAAAAGATAGCGAACACGTGCGCAGCCCGAAAAGGCGGGCACGAGTGCACACAACGAGGTGTCCGACCGAATATCCCCCCCTGCCAAATTTGGGGCGTGGAGGGCGGGAACGAAAAGCTTTTCGACTGCCCGACAGCTTGCGAAGCATGTTTCCGGCGGGCCATGTATGTTCTCATTCAGACCGAATCATGACAGCAGTCGCAAACACCGGAAAATAAAAGGTTTCTTTCAAAAACTTGATGTTTGTCCGTCCAAAATCGCAAGAAAAACATGATGCACGCGCTCATGTTTTTGTTGCGATTTTGGCCCGATACCAAAGCAACGAAACGGTACTACCCATATCAACTTCGTGGACGCTGACCATCACACTACCAATCACACTGCCACACTGCTCGAGATCGTATTATCTAAATTCAACATAACCCATACCCGCTGCTACAACTCGAAACCTGAATTCAAACTTCAACGTAATGATGTCACACTAACACGGGTCCTCACGAACTCATCAGTCGCGTCGCCCAACAGCAAGGAGGCTTTGCCCGCTGTGACCTTCAAATCGCTCTTGTCGAAGCTGCTCATGAAGGAAACGACCTCCTCAGCCAGCTTCTTCAGCAACTTGCTTTCCTCATCGTTTTCGGGCTGGCTGTCTTTGCTCGACAACACACCAAGGAAGGCCTTCACACAGCTGCCGACCTCTTCGTTGTGGCACACGAGCGGCTGGCACATCTCATGGTCAGGCTGCATCTTCTCGTCACACTCGAATGTCAACATATCCTCTGTCTGGGAAACATACTCGAAAACTTGGAATGCACTGGCTTCCTTGCTGCGTCCTTTGCTCGATCCTGATTTGGGTTTGGCTCTGGCTTTCACTTTCGGAGTCGCCGCTGCACCTGTCCTTTTCAAGCCGAGGGTTGCCGCCTTGCAGGAAGCCATCAACTCATCCCAATGAGCTGTCACCTTCTTCGGTTGCTTCCAAGCTTCTGCCAATGTTGCAGCATTCTCGACGGTTGCAAAGAAGCCGTGGTTCCGGTACTGGTTCAGAGTCCACAATCCTTCGTAGTTGTTGCATGGCCCCGATAGAGACGCATACTCCTCGTCGATGGTGCCGGTCGAACATGTACTCTTCGCTGCGCTCACACGCCTTAGATCTGACTCTCAGCCACCCAACACAATGCACCCAACAATGATCGGCTTGATATCGAGACAGAGCTGTTGATGCAGAGCTATGGACATGCATGATGCAAACACTAGTAGTCACTGGTAGTACTAGCAGTAGCAGCAGTAGTAGTAGTAGTAGTAGTAGTAGTAGTAGCAGGAGTAGCAGTAGTAGTGGTAGTGGTAGTAGTAGTAGTAGTAGTAGTAGTAGTAGTAGTAGTAGTAGTAGTAGTAGTAGTAGTAGTAGTAGTGGTAGCAGCAATAAAACACAGGATCCGAATGAGCATTGCAAAATCGGCCAAACGGCAAAACCATCGGCACCCAGTACTTCAAAAACGCTTCGAGCGAGCTTATCCCGCCGAAATCAACATTGACGTTGTAAAGTCAAGACCGGTGTCTTGAGTACAACAAGTTTGAAACTTGCGGCAGGCATGCTTCACACCGCAATCTAGACCATGAGAAGTCACACCCAGCTTAGCACAACGCCAAACACGGATAATGAAGGCCGAGGTGCTGCCGGAGCTCTGCACAGAATTGGGCAAAGTCGTCTGCAGAGCCATTGGCCACGATCTTCAAAGCTTGCAGACGGCTGTTGACGATCTTCATTTCCACGGTTCTGCTGCTTGAAGATTCTTTGCTCGCACGGAAGAGAGCCACCTGGCTTTCCATGTGGGCGATCGTTTGCGCCATCTTCGCCTTGGACTTGTCTGCCGTGTCCTCAAGCTGTCGCTTGGCCTTTGCAAGCTCCATGGTTGCATCGAACCATTTTTTTGATTTCTCCCCGTCTTGACCTTTGTCCTTGTCCTGCTCCTTCTTGTCGTTCTTGTCGTCATCGCTGCCATCTGATTGGTCTGATTCTTTGCCAGCCTTCGAGCTCCCGAAGCTGCTGCGTCTGGGAACCTTTCCAAACTGCTTCAGATCCTCAACATGAAGTTCCTTTGAGAACATGTTGAAGCTTCGGTTGTCGTCCTCCTCCATGGCAGTGGTCGCCAAGTTGGCGGCGACAAGGTTGGTGTCGACATTGAGGCTGGAGCCGGAACCAGCCCCAGCAAGGACCAGCGACTGCACTTTGTCGCTAAGCTGCGCACCATCCATTTTGGTGCTGAGCTTGTGCTCCTGTTCAATCGACTTCTTCTTGTACAAGTCCGAATAATCGATGAGATCATGATGTATGGGAATTGCACATTTCTTGCCAATCTTGAACACTGAGTCGTCTTCCAGCATCTCTAGCCACTTGTCCTCCGCTTGCTTCTTCGTGAGGTTTTCCCCCGATTCCTCACTCTGTGCCCACTTCACAAACTGGCCCTCCGTCATCAGCCTGCGAGTTCTCTGGAGCCGGGTGCCCTCTTGAGCCGCCAACTCTTCTTTGTACTTGCGAACCTGGAAGTTGATTCTGCTCCGGTCCTTTTCCGCCTTGGCACGGGCTTTCCGGTATGCCTTCAACACGTTTTGCTGCTCGGCCTCGGAAAGGCCTTTGAACCAAGCCTCCTCCTTTTGTCGCCTGACGATAGCCATGAGGTTCCGCCACTCGTTGTAGCAGGTCTTGCAATCTGCTTGGTCCATGTTGAATTGAGCCAGCGGAAGCTTCTTTTTGCAGCGCTTGCACTGCTTGACGATGTTGCAATCCGGCGGCCCGCTCCCATCCCTCTTGCGACGGCGGCGCCTGCGGCGGCGGGACTCGCTGAGGCTGTCACTCTCGGTTGGAGATCGTCGGCGGCGCTTCTTGCTGCGGCCGCGGCCGCGGCTGCGGCTGCCTTTCCTCTTCGGGTCCGAGGTTTCCACTCCTGGGACCTGCTTCGCGAGCCCGAAATTGAGACCGAAATCCTCGTCTTCAAGATCCATGCCACTACCACCGATTCCCCGCTTTGGGGCCCCCACCGACTGGCAGGAGAAATCTAGTATGAAAATGCCCGTGCGATTTCAGCAGTTACTTTCAGCAGTCATAAAACAACTCACTGGGATAGACTGGGCTGGGTCTAAGCAGTTTCTTCTGGGTGCAGCACCACCATCAACTGGGAGCCTGGAGCTGCGTTGCCAGCCCAGGAACAAAGGTCGACCTGCTATGGTGCGTCGACACATGTGGCACTCGCAACCAAAACCCCATCTAAAGGCTTCCAGACTTCCAGCTATGCATAAGCATCAGCACAACAACAAGTGTTTCGTACTGGGTCTGAGCAGTTTCTTTCATCAGCCACACGGCACTCCGGGGGCAGCACCGATGCCAGATGATGCCAGACAGGAGCGAAGCTCGACCTGCCATGATCTATTGACACACATGGAGCTCCATACCGACAAACCAGCTAGAAGCTTCCAGCAAGGCAGAAGCAGCATGACAACAACAACGCCATTGGGTCTAAGCGGTTTGTTTGATCAGATGCTTTCAGTTGCCATGGGGTGAGCAATACATCAATGTGCAAATGTGCAACATGTTGCACACTGATGACAGCAAAATCTAGACAACCGAGACCCCAAAATTTTCCGAAAACTTTGGGGCTTGGGTCGGCGACCCCGGACCCAAAATTTTTCGAAAATTTTGGGGCCCGGGTCGGCTACGTCGATACAATGTGCCCACACGACACTCTGGGGGCATCACCAATCTTGATCTTGAGCTGGGAGATGCCACAAAGAAGCGAAGCTCGACCTGCCATGATCTGCCGACACAAACGGTGCTCAATACCGAAAAACTAGCTAGAAGCTCCCAGCCAAGCTGAAGCACCAGCGCAACTCAACAACACTTGGGCCACTGGTCTAAGCAGTTCCTCTTATGAGCCACACAACAATCTGGGAGCATCACCACCCTCAATCTGGAGCTGCGAGATGCCAGCCACGAACGAAGGACCTGGTGTGATCTCTCTACACAAATAGGGCTCAATACCGAAAAATCAGCTAGAAGCTTCCAGCTTCGCATAAGCACCAGCAGAACAACAACTGGGTTACATTGGGTCTAAGCCGTTTCTTTGATCAGCCACACGACACTCTGGGAGCATCACCAACCTCAATCTGGAGCTGGGAGATGCCAGCCAAGAACGAAGCTCCACCTGCCATGATCTGTCGACATACATGGGGCTCAATACCGAAGAACCAGCTAGAAGCTTCCAGCTACGCATAAGTTAAGCAGCAGCACAACAACAATGGCTCCACTGGGTCGTGTGAATAGATCACCCACACGACAAACTGGGAGCATCACCACTGTCAACCTTGAGCTGCACTGCACGAAGCCAGCCAGGAGCGAAGCTCGACCTGCCATGAATCATCGACATACATGGGGCCCAACACCGAACAACAGCTAGAGGCTAGAAGGCTAGAGCGAACCGTAAGCGCCAGCACAACAACAAGTGGGCCACCGGCTCTGAACGGCTTCTTTCTTTCATCGGTCATGTCTGGGAGCAGCGCCACTATTAATCTGGAGCTGCACGATGCCAGCCAGGAGCGAATCTTTGCCTGCCATGATCCGTCGACAGAAACAAATGGGGGGATCAGACACGGCTTTGGGCTTTGGGTTCAGGTGCTCGGATAGTATTGCGCCAAAGTTTTTGTTCCACGGCTCGTGGGTTGCGACTTCTGGAGCGAGAAGTGGGTTCTAAAACAGGAAAAGTACAACAGGTTTGATCTCACACAGACTGCGAATTGTGCGCCGTGTCTTTTCCATCGCGGCCCATCACTGCGGGTTTCTCTTCTTCGCTGTGTCTGGGATCAAACCAGGCGAATCCGGGCCCGGTTCGTGAGCCGCTTCTTCCGAGCTGGCTGACTTTCAACCGCAAAGCACAGAACGAAAGCAAGCAGGGCACCAACACATTGCAAAGACATGCCATTTCCAAGCATGCGCCGTACATGCACATCTGGGATCGCGTCTTCGGCGGCCGCATCTGTGTCCAGTATGATGTCACGGAAAGGACACTGGAATGGGGTATTCGTCACAACTGCAAAGCCTTGAACTTCTGCCATCTCCTGTAGCAGCATGTACCTTTGGTGTTTGAAAGACCAAATCTGTGAGCGAGTGATAAGGACAGGACAAAAGGGTGAAGCACTGCCTCGGCTTGCCTTCTGTGTTGTGTTCATGAAGGCAGTGCAAAGCTGGCCTTCCGTCACGTCTCTCTTTTGTCGCACGGACCCCTCCCACTTACGAATGTTGTCTAACAGCTTCTGTGGCATCACATGTTTGAGTTTCCATGTCTCTCCTCGCGGGTCCTTGTCTGGGAAGCCTCGGCGGCGAGCAAATCTGGCGATGCAAGCATCGACTGCTTCCTTGGAAGCACAACAAAACTCGGCAGCATCAACGTCAACATCATCCGGTTGGTGAAAGAGCTCCTCGAAAGCCGACACTGGATCTCCGCATTCCCATTCGAATTTGTCGTCTCGAAGCAACACCATGTATTTCCTTGGCCTCTTGGCGGGGACACCCATCGAAGAAGGGCACAGCTCAAAAGAGGTGAGAGAATATTTGGGGAAGAGCTCGCATATGAGGGCATCATCAATCGACTCCGTGCATTCAACGAGCAGGGCCGTATCGCCCAGCCACATCATCTGATTGCCCATCGCGCTCCAATCTAGGCAGCTCACCCCTGCTATTGCCAATGAAAGAGATCCTGCAGCAACTGCGGGCAGTGGTGGACAAGCCCTTTTGTGCTTGTGACACCAACACGACTCCACGGTCAAGTCAGACAACATGATCTGCATGCCGGCTCGGATGAAGTCCTGACCTGCTGAAAGAAGAGCTTCCTTGCTGGGCTTCTCGGGAAGCGATGACCGCACAGTTTCCAACAAGTTTGCAGTCTTCTTCGCGAGGTGATCAGGACATCGCTCGCTGAATTGACCGAAGACACAAGCCGGAGCAGCTGGTCCGTCGTGGGCCATCAGCATCCTCCTGCAGTACATGTCGACATCTGCTGCCCGTGCACAAGTCAAAGGTGCACTTGTCGCCGTTGCACTAGAGGATCCTCCCACAAGGTCACGGAACGCTTCACACAAGAAACGCAGGCATATTTCGGGAGTCCCCAAGCCACTGTAGTCGGTAATCAACTGGATCCCTTTCTGTAGCTTTGCATCAAACACCTGCAACCTTTCAGGCGCAGCAGCTTGGATCTTTCTCAGAAACAGAGACGGCCACATGAACAGATCCGCGTAGCACTTGAACCTCAACTCCGAATGGCCCGACTCCATCTCAGCCTGAGAGAGGCCAGGCTGAACATCCACATCATCCGTATCCATCTCTTCCATCTCATTCCGTTCCGCTGCTGCTTCCATGGCTAAGACAGGTATGGCCGGTATGGCCTTTCGAATCCACAAACTACACGATAAGTTCTCTGTAGGAACATACAAGGATTTGACAAATGATTTTGGCTGTGGTCGTTACCTGTCACATATTGGACATTCTTGTTGTCTAAGAATACATAGCAAGTTTCCCGAAGCTTGACAAAGCGAAACAACCACAACGCATTCAGGAGATTTCTTGGCACATTCCATAAACTACACAGACCAGACCGCACGACCAAACCATGATTGCGCCTGCGAGGCCGAAGTGCTGGTCAGCAGGCCGCATAGTAGCCCAGCCTCCGGAATCCAGTGCCCAACGGCGCTTTGGTTCACTTAACCTCCCAAACCATCGAGAAGCACCCAAAACCATCCGAAACCATCCAAAACCTCTGCGATCTGCCTCGAAACTGACACAAGATACAAGCAGCACACGAAAAGCACCAGCAGCACACCGGGGTGTGACCGGGTGGTGCTAGACAGCTATGTGTGGATGTGTTCGGCATACGTTCGGGATGCGCTCGGGCGTGTTCGGCATGCGTTCGGGATGTGTTCGGGTATGTTCGGCATGCGTTCGGGATGCGTTCGGGTATGTTCGGCATGCGTTCGGGATGCGTTCGGGTATGTTCGGCATGCGTTCGGGATGCGTTCGGGTATGTTCGGCCATGTGTTCGGGATGTGTTCGGGATATGTTCGGGTGTGTTCGGCCTTGTCCGGGTTGGGTCCGGGAGCTGGGGTGGTGGCGGCCCAGCGGTTTTGGGCTGGCGGCCATGGGTTCGGGAGGTTCTAGGGGTCTCGGACCAAATTTCTGATGGTTTTACGCAGGTTCAGGCTTCTACCAGGTGTTCGGGAGGCCAGAGGTTCTATGTCTACCGGCGGCCGTCGCCATTTCGCAGATCTAACCCAAGGCCCAGGCCAGGACTCCAGGACTTGTCGCCACTGCGTGGCAATGCGTGGCACCTGCGCAATGAGAAGCTCTGCCCCCTCATTTCAGAAACCTCGCAATCCTTTCCGAGTATATTTCATCTGCATACGACGGGTGTATGTATATATGTATGCATATATGTATGTATGTATGATATGTATGTATATACGTATGTATGTACATGTATATGTATATATGTATGCTGTAGGCGTGTATGTAGGTATGTATATATATCTATATTTATATATATATGCGTAGACGGTGTAGACCTATGATTTCGCAACAAAAACATGATGCGCGCGCATCATGTTTTTGTTGCGATTTTGGTCCGATACCAAAGCAACGAAACGGTACTTGAGATACTCGCTGCCCTACCCAAAGAAAGCTTTTTCAACTTCGTTGACGCTGACCATCACACTACCAATCACACTGCCACACTGCTCGAGATCGTATCATCCAAATCCAACACAACGCCAGGAGCCATACCCGCTGCCACAACTCGAAACCTGAATTCAAACTTCAACGTAATGATGTCTCACTATGTCACTATGTCACACTAACACGGGTCCTTACTGGGTCTGACCAGTTTCTTTGATCAGCCACACGGCACTCCGGGGGCAGCACCGATGCCACACAGGAGCGAAGCTCGACCTGCCATGATCTATTGACACACATGGAGCTCCATACCGAAGAACCAGCTCGAAGCTTCCAGCAAGGCTGAAGCAGCATGACAACAACAACGCCATTGGGTCTAAGCGGTTTGTTTGATCAGATGATCAGATGCTTTCAGTTGCCATGGGGTGAGCAATACATCAGTGTGCAAATGCGCAACATTAAAGTTTTCGAAAATTTTGCGGCCCGGGTCGGCTACGTTGATACAATGTGCCCACACGACACTCTGGGGGCATCACCAATCACCAACCTCAATCTTGAGCTGCGAGATGCCAGAAAGAAGCGAAGCTCGACCTGCCATGATCTGCCGACACAGACGGTGCTCAATACCGAACAACTAGCTAGAAGCTCCCACGCAGCTCAACAACACTTGGGCCACTGGTCTAAGCAGTTCCTCTTATGAGCCACACAACTAACAATCTGGGAGCATCACCACCATCAATCTGGAGCTGCGAGATGCCAGCCAGGAACGAAGGACCTGGTGTGATCAGTCTACACACATGGGGCTCAATACCGAAAAATCAGCTAGAAGCTTCCAGCTACGCATAAGCACCAGCAGAACAACAATGGCTCGAGTGGGTTTGAGTAGTGTCTTTGATCAGCCACACGACACTCTGGGAGCATCACCACCCTCCTCAATCTGGAGCTGCGAGACTCCAGCCAGGAACCAAGCTCGACCTGCCGTTGCCATGAACCACCGACATACATGGGGCTCAATACCGACAACCAGCAACAAGCTCCCAGCCACCCGCAAGCGCCAGCACAACAACGACTGGGAAACTGGGTCTCAGCAGCTTCTTTTTAACTTCGTTTATGAGTCAAACGACAATCTGGGAGCGTCACCGCCCTCAATCTGGAGCTGCAGGACGCCAGCCAGGAACGAAGGACCTGGTGTGATCTGTCTAAACAAACGGAGCTCAATACCGAAAAAACCGGGTACAAGCTTCCAGCTAAGCAAAAGCAGCATGACAACAGCAACTGGGTTACATTGGGTCTAAGCAACTTCTGTGATCAGCCACGCGACACTCTGGGAGCATCGCCAACCTCAATCTGGAGCCGCGAGATGCCAGCCAGGAACGAAGCTCCACCTGCCATGATCTGTCCGAGAAACCAGCTAGAAGCTTCCAGCTACGCATAACAACAATGACTCGAGTGGGTCTGAGTACTGTCTTTGATCAGCCACACGACACTCTGGGAGCATCACCACCCTCCTCAATCTGGAGCTGCAAGACTCCAGCCAGCAACCAAGCTCGACCTGCCGTTGCCATGAACCACCGACATACATGGGGCTCAATACCGAAAAACAGCTAGAGGCATGCTACAGCTCACGACACGATATACAGAATCCGACTGCCTGGCTGCCTGCAGTGCACACTGAAAGTGATATGGCCTGCATGTACCCGTCTCACCAAAGCACCGCGACGATGAGGCACCTTGAGACAGCAAATCGGGACTTCGATGGGGCAGTAACAACATGAGACGAGATCTCAGTTCTAATGTTTCAGATCATGCTGGCTGAACTGAAGCATGCCGACACGACAAACCCCGACTCACATCAGCACATTCACTGATTCATCAACATCGCCCAAAGGAAACCCAGCAACCGAAGCGTGCCTGCCCTGTACTGCAGCAGCCAAGAAGGCCGGCCTCAATGATGCGTGATGATTGGCGTGATGTGGTTAGCGGTTAGCAAAGAACATGTGCATCTACAAGTCGACAAACACCTGTCTGCTGAGCTTTGCCGGTTATCCGGAATACCATTGATATTAGCCGGCCACCAACACCCCAGCACACGCACAGCACGCACACACATCACAAATGCAGTGCGTGCCCTGTTCTTGCCTCAAAGAAGTAGAAGTCGTTTCCAATCACGCGGGGCCTGATTGGAAAGCCACAGGATTGAGCCATTGAACTGCAGGGTTCGAGGAAATTCGAGGCTTTCACAGGTCCATAACTTAAGCTTTGCCTTGGGTTTGGGACTAAAGGAGTTCTATGGGTGCAATGGGGTACTGACTGTTGAAGGTCCGGATTGCAAAAGTAATAATGAAAGGATGAGAGGTGCTGCTTCTGGAAGGCCTGAACACAACCCAGAATCCATAATCCGAAGACAGCCAAAAACAAGCCCCCGACTCAAGCGACGATGTTCGGCCTCGAAAAGTCCTCGTCATGTTGGCCACGGCGCGCGAGGAAGTTCATGTTCAACCTGGCGTATGAAGGAACGCTGCGTGCAGGTTACAAACAACTAAGGAGTTACTTTCAAAGGAGAGCTTTGTACCTCGTCCTGCACTAACGCAAAGCACTGAATGCCACAATGACACCGACTGGCAAGACAAGAATCTGAAACATGTGTTTCTGAGTCAGTGATAGTGATGATTCATGATGTATGTGGCGAAACTAAACTACACCCTACAAATACTGAAGCATGGTCGGCCAGCCTGGACGGCAACGGCCGGCTGGCATCTGCGCCACATCACTGTTCAACCAATGATTTTTGAGCCTTCGAGAACCCGAGAGGAGACTCAATCAGATTCGGAGGACCCGGAGGAAGATGATGAACTACTCGACGAGTCCGATCCAGAGGAAGAGTTTCCATCTGAAGCTGCGTCGCTGGACGGCGGGTCAGATGCTGCTTCATCACGAGGAGAATCCCCAGCGCCCACATGTGCCCCAGCCGCGGCTGCTTTGGATTTGGCTTTCCGTTTGGGCTGCCGCTTGGTGTTTGCTTTGGCTTTTGGTATCGACTTTGCTGCTGCTTTGGCGGCAGGAGGAGAGGGCGGAGACGGAGCATCCAGCACATCATCTGGCTCATACTCTCGCAACGGTAAAGCCGCAGCTTGGGCTTCCAACACAGCAGGCCCTGGTGTCTCAGAACTTCTGGGCTGCCATGCTTGGTGTTTCCATGCCCTATCGAAGCGCGCAGCCTGCAGAAGCCAGTGCTTGACCATGTTCAAGCACTGTTCGCGGTTTTCATCCGTGCTGTTTTGCATGCTGATAGATTTCGTGCACTTGGTCACATCGCTTCGCTGGTGGAAAGGACACCGCCCCTGCCAAGCACCATGCGTGCAGCCAGCACCTGGTGCACGATATGTGATTCGAAACCCAGCAATTCCCCATTGCGGTATGGACTCTGGGCGGACCCAGCGCTGTCTTGGGCCAGCCGCCTCATCATCAGCTGGTGGCACTGGTGGCTCGTCAGCAACGTCATCTGGTGGCACTGGTGGCTCGTCAGCAATGTCATCTGGTGGCATTGGTGGCACTGGTGGCTCGTCAGCAATGTCATCTGGTGGCATTGGTGGCACTGCTGGCTCGTCAGCAATGTCATCTTGCCTTTCATCTTCATCAGTGAACCAGTGCCCAATGGAGCTGTGGGAATCATCGCAATCGGAATGAGAGCTTGGCGCATCGCTGTTGTCCACGACCTCCGGCGGCGCTGCTGCAGGCGAAGCATCTCTCTTGCGCTTTCTGTTCGGCGCAAGCACAGCAGGAGCAGGAGCCTCTCCTGGCACATCAAACAACAGACCGTCGTCGGCATTCAAAGGAACGTCCCTGTCTGCATCCAATATTTCAAGCGGCTGTTGCTCTCGCTTTTCCCTGCGACCTTGTGCATCTTCCAAAGCCTGACGAGCGGCATCCTTGCGAGAAGCTTAATAATTGGCAAGCAAAAAAGCAACCCTAGTCCCAATTCTTTGACAGCTTCCCAACACAGCAAGGACTAAGGCTAAGGATTCCCTCGCACTCAACACGACAACTGAAATGAAAGCTCAGGCACGAAGTCCCTTCCCAGTAGAAACCTGTAGTACTTGATAGGCTGCAGGTGCTCAACAGCAAAGTCAGGATGTGTAGCGAACAAGTCTTCCGACTGAGCCAAGCAAAGAAGATACTCGCGAGGAGCTGACACTCCCGAAGAATACCAGATACGAAGAGCGTCTTGCCGGTACGATGGCGGTGGTTGCTTGATGTTCCCACGTTGCCAGACCCACCCCAATGACTCGAGTTTCAGGCACAACTCAAAAGCTGTGCACTCGGATAACGGTTTCAACGCATCTACACTTGCCAAAGCATTTGGCTCCATCACTGTTTGGCCGATGCTCATGCGCTGCAAAGCAATTGCTTTCAGCTGCCAGCCTTTTTCGTGCTGGGCCACATAGCCTGCATGACACAGCTCCTGCAAAGGATTCAGCACAGCCCCTTGGACATCTTGAAGCTGCAGGTACTGAGCGGGTTGCCGACCCTCGAAAGCATTGGCGCGCATGAGAAGCTCCAACGCTGCCCCACAATCGGCAGACATGTCGGGGAGACCTAAAACGTGCTCAGATGAGCGGTGCCACTTCAACATCTGAGACATGTCCGCCATGCTGACCCCAAAGCTCGAGAACACTCGCACAAAGTCCCCAGAATCAGAGCACTTGCTGGGCTGGCTCTCAAGAACATACCTCTTGGAAGCAGGGTCGCTGGTGGCTCTGTGGATCGTGATAGCCAGATCTCCTTTATGCAACCTTCTTTTACCAGCAGCTGACCCCTTAACAGTTTTCAATCTTGAAGCAGTCGAAGACAACAGTTTGAAGAAAGCATGCTTCGGAGCGATGTCGGCACCTGGCCTGGCGGCAGCCCTCACGGCCTCTAAATCATCTGGGAGCAAGCTTGAACCCAACACCAGATCTGCACACTCAGATTCGCCAGGATCAAGACCTGCACGGCCCACAGGTCTCCTGGCATCTGCCAAACTCAGAACTTCCGAGCCCTGCAGCATCGTACTGGGCAGAGAGAACGTTTCACCAAGTGTCAATTCGCTCTGCAAGTGGTCTAGAAACGCACGATTGCGGACAGCCTCGTAGCAAATACGTTGCTTAGCTTCGGCCGAATTTCCCGCAACAGCTGTTGTTCCGCGTCCTTCTTCTCTTTCTTGAGTTGACCTAAACTTACCACTTGCCGAAGAGATGGTAGACATAATACTTTACTGGACTTGAGCCGACCGAAAACAGAAAAAAAAACTGCTTTCGATTAAGCGCGAGTCGCGATTGTTTCGTTGCGGCGCGGAGAGGTCCAAATACAACATGGTGGTGTCATTCCCGTACATGATGGCATTGGCCATTTTATCCAAACCCCTCTGCTGTTTCTTCGGCTTCGACACCATCTCGAGCCATTGTGGGTGCTTTGCGAATCGGAAAAGTTTCGCAAGTCTTCTCACTTTACGGGTTTTCTCAAAAGCAGCAAGCAATTGCTGCTTCTTCTGCTCATCTTGCATGCACTTATCGATTTCTTGCAAGCGTTCTGCACATGAGATATAAGCACCAGTAACCTTGCGGTAGCCACCGTGCCGATGAACCAGGCTGTGCTCAGCTTCCACCACACGCTCAACCACAGGTATGAACCTCAAACAAGCAATTTCGTATTGAAGCTGCGGTAAGTCTTTCAGCGAAACATTCGCATCATCAGCCAAACGCCGTAGCTGCTGTTCAAGTTCACTGCCTGGTGCCAGGAAACGCCAAGTAATTCGATGATGGTAATGCTGTTCTTGGGGAAGCTTTTCGAAGGCTTCCAGAATGGTTGCAGCTGCTTGTCGCCTCTGATTTGCACATGGCACGGCCAAGGAACACAGCTTCCAAGGAAAATCGTCCCATTGTCCAAGTTTCAACTCAACTGTCATGTCGATATGGCTTAGACCATGCTCAAAGTCCTGAATCACTTTGTCCTTGTCTGCAGCATCAAGTGGAGCTGCCTGTATGATGACTTCAGGGCGCACCTTCTCGCAAAAACTCCGAAGTCGCTCCTGCAGCACGCCTGTTGCCAACTCATGCGCACGCTTGCCCGCAAGTGGGCACACACATTTCGGCCCATCGGAATCTTTCGGCAACCCCAGCTCGGACAAGAAAGCAGCGACCGCCTGGGCATGCTTGCTTTGTCCGGAACCATCCAAGTTGTCATCCTCAGAGGACAGAAGCCACTCCTTACAAGCGGATAGGACTGGACTGGACACACAAATCACAAATCATCACAAATCAAAACATATACAAGTTGCCTACGTCCTACGCTGAACATGTGAAACAAAAGCTTGTGGACTCTGCCACACGAAGGGTCATGGCAGTCGCACCCTGAACCCCAAGCGGATATGAAGTTGGCTACTTTGTGGAGCTGAAGAAGCATGTGAGCATAAGGAAGCCAAAGTGGACTTTTCAATGTCTCCGTCACAACGTCTGCGTCCAACTCGTCTTGCGCCTCCCGATTCTCTGCTCCAGGTTCTTCTTCTGCAGCCTGGGCCTCCAAACTGGCCCTTCCACGATACTTTGACGCATCCCATACGATTCGTAACGGCCTGACAAGGGCGAGTATCGGCGGCAATGCCTTCACGATGGTTCCCCATCTCCACTTCGCGACGCTGGGCACTGCTGTCTCGAAACATCGTGCAAGTGCTGCAAACGGTCCCCCAGAAATACATCTCGCAACCAGCCGCTTCAACAGATACCTGTGAGATAACAAGTGAGCTAGGGCTTTGAAGCCTCGCAGCCACGTGCTCCAATTTCGCAGCTTTGCGTCCATGTCACTCTGCAAGTTGTTTGAGATGTGATCAAGACCAGCGCACAAAAAGGCATTCATGAATGCATGCGTCGGCGTGTCCTCCAAGATTCCAGGATCGAGCCCAGCATCAGGGAGCAAACGATCCACTTGCACCCACGAAGGCAAGTAGTCGCAGATGCTGCCCGCAGCATCTGACACGCCGGCCTCAGTCCCCAGATCAACTGTCAAAGAGTACACACGGCTTGCGATCTGTTCCAAGCTGCTCAAACTCCTTGCTTCGTGGGCAAATTTCATGGCCAAAGCCTTGGTTTTGTGTTCCAGCGTCGACGCCGAGGAACCCAAGGCCATCGGCATCTGGCGATGCCTGCGCACCTGCTTGGACAAAAGAACTGTAGCATCAACGCGCTCCTGCACAATGCTTTGCATGCCTTCCACCGACTCCAGCGACTCTCCATCTTCGCCGTCACAAAGCAGCTTGAATCTGTTCACTGATGTCGACAACAGGTTCGCAGCCTCCCAACAGCGTACAACTTGGTCTGCAAAAATGAAATCGTAAATCGAAAGCAGCCAATCCGCTCCGAGCTGGGGCGACGAGTCAGCCCAACAAAAAAGTGGCCCAAGACCAGACTCCAGATCATCTCGCTGAAGCATTGCAAAGGCTGCATCCAGCCTTACCTGGCAAGCTGCATATGCTTTGAACTTGGACTTGGACGATCAAAACCTAGCGGGCCGCTGATTAATCGACTGCAGTCCTGGCAGTCCTACCCAGGAAGGGTTTAGGGAGCGCGGTGAAATACTGAAATACTGACCCTAAACCCCAAGGCCCAAAACTAAACACCTGCACCGATACATAGACCCAAGCCGGCCAGACTAAGCGGCTTGAGAGCGGGAGATCGTGGCTCCAGAAGGGGCTGCTGTTGCTAGCCTTGACACCAATCCTTGTAAAGCTTTAGGGACAAACACCTCGATCATCGAAGAAAAAGCCCCATTCATCTTGCTGCGGTTCCTCACATAGCGGGAAAAGCGGATGGCATTCGTAAGCAGCAAGACTGGTTTCGGGATATTGGCGGCAGTTTGCCCTTGTCCTGCTTCATGACAGGACAAAATCAAAAGCTCTAAACCCTCAGCTGCATTCTCCAGCTGCAGGCGTACATCATCTTCTTCGAACTCAGCGCATTCGCTGAGGAGCGTGTCTGCTTGAGAACGCAACATATGTAGCAAAAACATCGCATCCTGAGCTTCCAGACAGCGTGTCGGCTGCGCAGGAGAGTCCCTGTTCTGCTGCTTCAACTGCTGCAAATCCGCTTGCGATGGGAAATTCAGAGCAGCTTGCATCCATGCCAACGTTTTATCTAAACCCTTCTGCAGATGATGATTTCGCACGTTGAGCAGCAATGTGGACCATTTTTGCACCAACATCAATTGCAGAACCACCTCTGGGACCCACATGACAGGCACATCGTCTAAATTGTCCACAAGGGCATCCAAACCATGTTTGCGACAGCATTCTTCCAAGGTCGTTCGTGCACCAGCTGGTTTGGAAATCAGAACTGTGCCACGGCTCACAACAGCTGTATTGGTCTGGAAAACCATGTGCTTGATAGCAACATTTCCAGAACACCCACGGACTGATGCGATTGTTGATGGTTGTTCGAACGCATACATCGAAACAGCTTTGACACTGAAGCTGGAACGAGGACACTTGTAGTACTGCCACAGGAGCTCCGCTTCTTGATTCCAAGGAGTCAGACGTCCCTTGTCGCAAACGCCAGGAGCTAAAACTATGAGCGCTTTTACATCTGCAGCTACGACATCGAGAGCATTCCGGGCGTCAACTCCGGAAACTTTGCGAAGTTCTGGCTCCAACCCAACAGATCGGACCTTGTCTAAAAACCAACCAGGTTCAGGCAACCACTGCGGATGTCGAGTAGTCTTTGAGCTCCCGGTCCTCAGGCGACGATGGCCGTTGGCATAGCCGCACAACAACAACATGCCCACATGATGTCCACATGGCTCCAAGTAACAGGAGGTGACGCGTGTCGAACTTTACAGCACACACTAGCTCTGTAGCTGAAAACTTCACTGAAAACGTTTAGGACAGTATTTAGGACAAGCTCGCCTCGGACGTCGCTGTGACTGTGACTCATGATAATCGTCTGAGCCTCCTGTGGCTGAGCAATATCATTTGCAAAGACTCACTCAGCTGTGCAGATGCTGCCGCTGCCATGCTGCTCAACCATTCGGAAACAGTTTGTCAACGATTGGAATGCGCGAAAAAACGCCATAATCATAATCCTGTGAGTCGTCGAAAACTGTAAGTTGTATGGTTTATGCAAAACATGTTTAGGGAGTGGGTTTTCAGGGTTTATACAGACGGTTTAGGGTTTAGGGCTTAGGGTTTTTTCCCGCGACACGTACCGTCACGTCACGTACCTGTACTGTGCTGTACAAACAACTGTACAAAGTACAGACTACAGACTGTACACTACAACGTGTCCGTGTTACGTTGGATTCTGTACAAACAACTGTACAAAGTACAGACTGTACACTACAACGTGTTACGTTGGATTCTGTACAAACAACTGTACAAAGTACAGACTGTACACTACAACGTGTTTCGTTGGATTCTGTACAAACAACTGTGCAAAGTACAGACTGCACACTACAACGTGTTACGTTGGAAATTCTATGGACGCACCGGTGTTTCCGGATATCTTTATCAGAGCAGGATCCTACTCGCCCTCGCGGGCGCCTAACAGTCTTTTCAAGCGCTTATAACTGCCTTTTCCAGTGCATACCTGTCACTCCAACCTCTGCCGCCGCCGCCTTGTCAAGCGCTTAAGGGCCTTTTCCACAAATTCAAGCCCACAGGAGCTTGAGCCGATTGCATCACAGGCAACTATGAAGATCTAGTTGAATCTAGTTGCTGGTGAAATTCCAAGCAAACGCTCCAACCCTAAGGTGGAATGTCAAGGTGACGAAAGTCTCAGATCTAAGGCCGTCAGCCACACAAACACATCAGAAAGCGCACACAGCTAGGATTGACTGTTGAAACGCAATCACCCGGAGGCTGGTAGAAAACTAGCACAGGCTCTCCATCGAGGGCGGCGTGCAAGGCGTCTTGGTCAATGACACCCTTCTCGTCAACGGCGCCATCGCGCCCAAGGCCAGCCTGCCGTACCTCTACCTCTCGCGCATACCACGAACCTGGAGCTGAACACGAAGTTCGCCGCCGTCACGGGGCTCGGGGACCCCGGCGGCTTCTGCGAGCTGGCCGTCATCAACCAGGCCCCCACGGGCGCGGCGAGGCTCTTCCTGTCCACGCAGAATAACGCGCCCGCCGGCGGCAAGGGCGAGCTGGTGGCGCTGGATAACGGAGGGATGCAGCTGAACGCGCTCGACCAGTTCATCAGCTTCAACACCACCGGCAGCCTGGCGAACTTAGCGATCGAGCCCAACACCGGGGGCAGCAACAACGGGGAGCTGATCTTCGGCTACGGCTTCGTGAATCTGAGCGACCGGGCGCTCAAGGAGAACGTCCGGACCATCCCGGAGGAGGAGCTGCAAGAGACCTTCGACGCCGTGGAGCCGCACACCCACACCCACACCCACACCCACACCCACACCCACACCCACACTGATGGATTCGGCCAAGAGTACGAGTGCAAGAGGAAAAAGAGAGGCATGTTGTTCATGTTGCAAAAGCTTGTCAGATTGTGGCAACCGTACAACTTGTTTGTTGTCGAATCAACCGCCAAAAGTGGCAACTGAAAACTCTCTAATCTTGGCACAGGGGCCTTCTAATCGGGCTGGCACAGGGGCCCCAGCTCAATTTTGTGCAGGTACAAGGTTTGGCGTCCCAAACCTCTTCCCATGGTGTTGCTAGCTTCGTTGGCCAGCGTCACAACACCATGCGCTGGCCCCCTGCAACATTTGAATCGTTAAATGTCAAATGTCTGATTGAGTTGCAAAGCAAAATTGCAAGCAGTGTAGGAGTGACCCTCTGCTCCCATGTACTAGGGAGGTTCACACACACACAGCCCCAATGGGGCGTGTATGCTTCAAGTAGAGTGAAATGTCTGATCCATGGCAAAAATAGTGATTGGCGCACTTTTCTCGCTGTCACTAGCGGTCGGGTGATTGTCGTGTTTCCTGATCCGAACATGTTCTAACAAAAAGCACCGGCTTCAGCGTGGCTAATGTGGTGACTGAATCCCAATCATGTAGTCGTCGACGGTTTTGTTCGAAGAAGAAAGCAGGGATTTTTGGAGTTCTGCCGGTGATCTCCTTGATGCGGTAGGAGAAGATCTTGCGAGCTTGTAGAACGTTGTCACCCAGACAAAGCACCACATGTAAGAGCATGTGCTTGTCTCTGGTAATGCGGTCGGGTGGAATTTCAACAGTCATCCGAAAACATTGTCCTGCAATGGAGTACCATGGAAGGCCGGCCTCAGCAGCCTTTCGCTTTGTCATGTTTTGCTGCTACCAACCGACAAACGCTTGAACAAGGAATGCAAAACAACATGGACATGCTGTGTGCTCAGGAGACACAACCAAGTAGTGTCTTGCTGACACTCGCATGCGAAGGCTTTTTTGTCACGCTTAGCGGAACTTGCAGCCCTAATCCGTCCTGAGAATTAGGTTCCAACATCGAGTTTGTTGGGACAGTCGCTCATGATCTTGAAATGGCATCTACATCTGAAACCTGCACGTACCAGCATTTTTGCACAAGCGGTTTTGGACCGCTTATGTTGAATGATAGGATGCACAACATCGTAAGGTGCAATCGAGTCAGAAGACCAAGGATCTCGCGATGGAGATCGGTGTGCGTCCTCAGCCACTTGTGACGTTGCCGTAGGTGAAGCTGATGATGTTGAGTGCGAAGAGCGTGTCCTCTTTCGTCTTGTAGTATGTGGATGTTGGCGTTGTTGCTGTGTTGTGGAATGGGATGCTGGTGAAATGTTGCGTGTTTTCTTTGTTTTCACGACTGTTCTGTCCTTTTTGTCTTTGTTGTCTTTCTTCTTTTTTGTCTTCGTTGTGTGCTTTGTTTTTTGCTTGTGTGTGTGACTGACTGCATGGGAGGATGTGGCGGTGTCATCCTTCCTCAGAAAAGCATCAATCTCTTCGGATCCCCATAGGCTGCTGTCGTCGTCTTCGTCCATATGTGTGCGATCCTAAATATGTTACAACAACTGTAGTTCTGAGAAATGGCTGCGGAGTCACAACTGCATTAAAGCATGCGCATGCGCTGATCGTCGGAAAAGAGAGAGAGGGAAATACAAATAAACGTCACTTGAGCAACCTCACCGGCTGGCATGATCTTTCAACATGGTGCTCTTAATGCTGGCCCTCATCAGGGATGATGGGGTTCACATCACAGCTTTGCTGTGTGGTTGTTGGCTGCCGGGGGCAGCAAGTATGCATCTAATTGTCAACTCAGCGATGCTGCTCACGGAGTTCTTGATCGCTTTCTCTTGTTGGATGTAGGAGTTGAAGTAGTGGAAACTGGCTCCTTTTGGGTAGGAGTCGTTGAAGTCGGGAGCTGATCAGGTTGCTCCGAATGCTTTCGTATCCACTCTGCAGATGCGATGAAGTACTCACGCCACCATGAAGAGCCGTTAGTGGCCCAGTGCCATCTCCATTGTGATGCCGTGGGAGATCGTGATCTGGTGCGGCGGTCCATGGTGCTAACACAACTGGTTGTTTTGCAAAATGCTGCGGGAAAGAGTGTATCAATCGCTGCATACAAGCACATGTGAAGAAAGTGCACTGGCTGTCTCACTTGGCAAAAAACAACGATTGTTGTTTTCACCGTCTGCTGCAATCACCCAATGGTGGTATAAATCATGTTTGATCACCTATTGTTGCGAAGCTTCGAGTCTTTCCACTCGTTGCTTTAGCTCTGTAATCTGCCGGGTTGTTTGCAGAATAAACTCGGCTAATTGGTCGCGTAGAGCCTCGTCACTGAATGTGGAAGGTTCACTTCCGGTTTCGGACTCATAATCCCGATGCTGTGTCAAAATCTCCATGAGGGCTGCGGAGAGAGCTTCACGTCGTGCCTCATCGACGGGTGGCGAATCTGTAGTCACTGTATTTGGCGGAAGAGGTGAGTCGCTCATGGCTCGATGTCGGGATTCGAATAGGCGTCACTGTGAGGCAAAACTTCAGAAGGCAGAATTATGGTATTGTCTGAAAGCAACATGTGTTGAGTAGTGAGACTTATGCACTACCTGGCACTTTTTATACCGGCTTGCCTTAGTAGCAAATTCACGACCAATCAGGCGCGTTTTGTCTGATGAGGCTTTCAAGTACGTCGAGCTGCTGTTTGCACGAGGAAAGGATCGCCGTGGTAGCCTCGTGCTGAGTAGTCAACACCGTTGTAGCCTGTTGTATCAGGCGCTCGAGTTTAGCATTCGACTCAAGCAACGAATTGTGAAACTGCGTAATTGCTGCCATAATCTCAGCCGATGAATCCGGCTCAGGGTGATGCGGAGGTGGAAATGGCGGAGTCGCCGGTGCAGCCACTGCTGCATCCTGCTGTTCTTCCGGATCTTGGTGTTGCTCTTGGTAGTCTTGGAAGTCTTCGTCTTCTGCAACCCGTAGAAACTGAGAGCGCAAAAGCGCCGGCTGTGGGTTGTGGCTGCCCACCGCAGGTTGCTCGTTGCGGCGTCGGCTGTGCTTGGAAATGGATGGTCGAGGACGGCCGCTCAGCGCTTTGTGGCTCGGCTGCAATCTGCCAGTCATGGCACTTTTATACATGATGGTGCCTCAGTTAACGCTGAAAATGGCTGCGGGAAACACTGTGTTAATACAAAGCTGCTCTCATGTTGCAAGAATTGCACGGCTCTGGATCCACGCACGGCAAACTGGCGCAGTGTTTTGCTTACAGCTGTTGATCAGTATAGCCGGCCGCGATGTAGAGATCGCGCATGGCTCGAATGGCTAATGTGGCCTCGCTGCATGGTGTTGTCACTCTGCGTACCATGCGTGTG